CGTTATCTTATACCAAGTTTACTAATTGGGGACCAGATCACCTGATAAGGATCCGGTGGGCCACCACTCCCCACGTGAGCGTGGCTCGGCGGAAGGAGGTGCCAAGAATCAGTTCGTATTGATGGATCTGTTGGGAATTTATGCGATTAAGAGTACAGCCCACTAAATATTAAAGATAAAAATTAAGAATACTCTTATACGACGGATGGCCACCACTCGGTCTCGTTGTGATGCCTTCCCAGCCACGGATGACTTATGGGTTCGAGTGTGTTTGAGTGGTAAGAGTTGTCTTGAATAGTCAGTGTTCGGAGTCGATTCTTTATGTCAAACAGACGCCTGGTGGTCGTGTGGTGAGGGGGCGGTGCGCGTCATACGTATCAGGCGCTCTCCTGTCACCGTGGTGAATTGGCTCGGATGGCTGTTGATACGCTGTCGCAGTTCGGAACCCGGTCGGTAGGTGGCGCCCACAACTCGCTCGTAGCGTGCAGCGTTGGATCGTCGCCAAGTCGCGACGCTCACCACCGGCGGCAGCGGAGATCTCCGGCGGCAGCAGAGATTGACGAGCTGAAGATGAGTCGAGCCGACCCACTGGTCGCAGCTCGCTCCTGAGTCGACCCTCCCGGTCGAGCTCGCTCCTGGGTCGACCCGCTGGTCGCCCTCGCTCCTGAGTCGACTCTCTGGTCGCACTCCTGAGTGGACCCGCTCTGGTCGCACTCGTTCCTGAGTCGACCCTCCCGGTCGAGCTTCTGAGTGGACCCTCCCGTCGCACTGGTTTCCAATGTTCAGGATCCGTTCCTTTATGCTGAAAAATCCCCCTGGATCCCGCCCACAAGGCGGGGCTTCCGATTTTTGCTGTGTCAGGATCTGTCCGTAGGCAGGTGTGTCCATGTGTGTGTCCGTATGTCCTTGTGTGCATCACTGACGGTATATTCCGTTGTCAACTCCCTCCATAAAACCCACGAGCAAACAACCAGATGTTACAAATTGTCTCGAAGTCGTCTCTCTGTCTGGGTGCAATTTATCTCTTGTCTGGCCTTCTTCATGAACCCAAAACACAGACGTTACAAATCGTCTCATAGGCGTCTTTGTTCGTGTTGCACAACCTGGAGGGAGGGGCAACACTCTCTCCGACCCGGCGCACAAAGAAATGGTTAAAAGTTTTAAGTTAACATTTGTCCCTTACTATTTCACAGTTATGATTCTGTATGTAACCTAAGGTCTGTCGTTTCCCATCGTGGTTCCCGACCCAAGTGTAGGTGTTTCCCCGAGCGTACACACACTCCTATCCCGCGCTGCGGGGATACAAAGACGGCCGGGATCTCCCTTTCTCTCCGACCCTGGGTTTAACATTGTTTTTTTTTTTATTATGTATTTATATTCGACCTGGTGGTGATTCATCCCGTTATCCTGGCTTTTCCATAAGTTTTACTTTTGTCTTTTCATGCATATACTTATTACTATTAATTTATTTCCGATATCTTAGGTTAAGGGGTAAGTTTCTTGATCCTAGGAATTCGTATTCCTTGGTGCCTGGATGGTTATATAAGCGGAATATAGTTTACGGTGAATAGCGTTAACATTGATGTTATGTGCGATATTATGTATTGTGATGTCTTTAACTTAACTTGTTTGTCAGGGCTTTACTGACACGAAGTTGCATTCCATAGCCCGCAGTCTTTGCCCCACCCTATCTCTGCTCGCCGTTGTTGTTGCCTGCCGTTAATTCAAGGCCTCATTAATTTCCGTCACCCCTGAGTAGGTGAGGGCGGTTGAACCTTGGAGTCAGTTCTGGTTTTTGTCTGCCTGCTTCTTCTTGTGTCCCCTGACCCCGGGAGTTATTATTCTACTTTATGGCCTGTCGAAGCCCCACTCGCTGTTGCTGGGCTGGTGTTGTTCCCGGCTTTTGCTTACGTTTGCAGTTCGCCGTGCTCTTGATTTCCTTCCCTCTTCAACCTTATATTGACTATTCGCTCCTGTCTGGGTGCGATTCAATTTTGACTTAGGAAGGTTCTGATTGTCATATGCTTCGGGTCGAATTGTATAGAAAGTATTGAAGTATGGAAATAACATTTCATATTGACTTAATAATGGTGATGGTTCAGTAGGCGTAACTTGTGGCCTGGTTTAATTGGAGTGGGTGTGAATATCGATAACTTTAGCCTACCCTGTTGTTAAATTCCGACTTTAACGTTACTTTAATAGCAATACAGAATAATTGAGCTTTTTGTCTTAACTAGGCGAATGCGAACTTCTGGTGACCCCGCAGCCTTGTTGTTCAGCTGGGTCTGCCTCCTTGAGAGATATACACCACTCTTATTCTCGTCTCACTGTGGTCATCCAACCTTCTGCTCTGGGAGTGTTATTCTTACTTTCAGGTCAAAGGCCCCCTCACGTTCAGACGTGCAGGGTTGTTTACATCAGCTCCCCCCCTGTGCACGTGTTCTAACTAGCTCGGAATCCCTGAACACACAATCAGTGATGATTCCTGGCTTTCTGTGGTTGTGATTTAGACAAAGGCGCCTCTGTTTCTTCCATTGCCTTTGAGTCGACACTGCCCTATTATTTGCCCATGTGCTGAGGTCATAGAATTCGTTTTGACTTCAGTAATATTAACATTCAGTATTGGATTAGCAAATGGGCAATGGTTCATTTATGTAGCTCGCAGCCTGGTCTCCAATTTGAGCGAGCGCGAGGATCGGTAATTTAGCCTACTCTGTTGTTGAATTTCGAATTTTGACGTTACTTTAAAACCATGCAGGATGGTTGGGCTTTTTGCCTTAACTATGTCTGGCTGACACTCCCACTGTCTCTGCCGCCTGCACGGGTGACATGTGCCCGTTCATCAGGCCTTATCTTCCCTTGAAGCAACGTTGTAAATTCTGCCATCCTAGCCCTCCTCCGGTTCATTACTTAACAACACCTGGTGTTTTGCAGTTTGCTGCGCTTGGTGTGTTTCACTCATTAAAAAACAAGTAAAAAGATAATATATAAAAATCATCAAATATTATTAATCTCAATTATGGAAGAAGGGTTAGGATACAACAAGGCACACAAAGGGACTGTGGAGACTGGGAGCATAGAGGACGGGACAGGACAGAGTACTAAGAGATGAGAGACGCGAGATAATATGGGGCAAGACCATGGAGAGATTTTTAGACTAAAAGTGAGAAATGTAAACGGGCAGCGATAGTCGACAGAGAGCCAGTGGAGTTGGACAAGGAGAGCAGAAGTGTGGGAGTAGTGGGGCGACGTTAAAAATGATCTGGGCTGAGGCATTTGAGTGAAGGCGGAGACAGGACCGCCAAGAAGAGAGTTGCCATCGTCAAGGTGAGTGAACACGAGGGAGTGAACCAGGAGATTAGCAGCAGAGAATAAGATGAGGGGACGGGTTTTTCCGAATATTGAACAGGTTGAGAGCAGCAGGTGTGGCTCGTAGCAGAGATGCGGGTGGAGAGAGAGGAGTTGGAGATGACCCTGAGGTTGCGAGCAGGAGACACGAAGAGTGAGGGAGAAGGGAGGGAATGAGATAGTAGGACAGGGTGGAGGGGAGAAGGGATGAAAATGATTTCAGTGATAGAAGGATTAATGCAGAGGAAGTGGCGTGACATCCAGGATGTGGTTAAGCAGTTGGCAATGCGGGAGGAAAGGTCAGGGGTAAAGGAGGGAAAGGAAAATAAAATCTGGGTGTCGTCGGTGAATAAGTTATCGGGTAAGATATAGAGGGAGAATAGCAAACGGCCTAGGACAGATCCTTGGGGTAGACACCAACCGTGACGGGGGAGGGGAGGGGAGGTTGAGTGGTTGAAAGCAACAGACGAAGAGCGTGAAGAGAGATAAGAGTGGAGCCAGGAGAGGGGTGTGCTGGAGATACCGTGACTCGAGAGGATGGAAGGGAGTGTGGGTTGATCGACTTCCTCAAAGGCTGAGCAAAGATCCAGGAGAATGAGGATTGAGGGGAGGCTCGAATGGGCAGTTTGTTCGATGACTCTGTACAGTGAGGATGGGCAGTTTCAGTGGAATGGTAGGGGCGGAATCCAGATTGGAGTTGAGGGTAAAGAGAATTAGATGAGATGTGGCGAGTAAGGCGGGAGTGGACGACGTTATAGAAGCTTAGGAAAGGAAGGAGTGAGATTGGCCGATAGTTGGCAGGACTTGAAGTGTCGCAAGGGTGTTTTTAGAAGGGGGTTTATGATAGCTGATAGAAATTAACACATTCCTGCGGAGGGAGCTGGTAGGAACGTTGGGTTGCTCGGTCAATGGTCAGGGTCAACGGCGGCGTGGTGTATTCCGCAAATATGCCTGACTGTGAGGGCGGGCACAAGCCGGCGTGAGTAGGTTAAACGTTGAGTTTTATAAGGGCACCACGGTGTGACCAACCCCTCCCCACCCAGCCCCACCTCTCCCACCCCCCACCCAGCAGCACCCTCTCCTCCCCACCCAGCCCCTCCCTCCCCACCCGGCCCCTCCCTCCCCACCCGGCCCTTCCCTCCCCACCCAGCCCCTCCCCACCCTCCCCTCCCCACCCAGCCCCTCCCTGCACGACGGACGGACACAATAATCCCCTGTGGGCTGGTGGAACCAGTGGGTTCCTACCAGTATCACGCCCCACATATGGCATCATTTTTTGTCAAACAGGGACAGCTGCCACCGGGGCTGGCCTTGGCAATTGTTTGAGAAGAGATGTGATGCAAGTTGCTGATAGCGTATTGAGTGCTCCGAGACGCCCTGGGCGTGAAGGAGGGCCGGACTCTTTATTAAATACAAATCATTATTACCATAAAATACGGCACGTGAGAACGGCGGCAGCAGCAGCCATGCACGTCAGTCGGCAGAGCAAGTGCTCACAAGTAAAGCACGGTTGTGCAAACAAAGCACAAGCGCAGTCTCGTGCACCGCCACACGCGTCACAGCGACGGTCAGGATGGGAGCATGAAACGCAATAGCAGCAGGCAAAACAGCAAACGACAGGTCGCATGCATCTGTGTGTCATGGTTTCGTAGGCACCTGCTCATCAGCTACCAGCTCATCGGGAATGTGCCGCCGATCGTGTTCGTGCGGGACAAGGAGTACGCGGCCGTGGCAGAGGTGGGTGTCCGCACGGGGGCCACTCTTTATTTAAACACCACAGTGAAGGCTGCGGAGGGGGGGGGGCATCCTTGGGAGTCCCCCTCTCCGTTGGCTTGTACGTGACATTCCGTGTACACCGAGCACAGGTGGTGACGTGCTGATGTGACTTTGGGTCTTTTTTGCCACGAGATTGTAGCCTTTTAACATTTATGTAATTGAAGTCATTACCACCTATCGTTGTGGACAGAGCATAGCCTCAATGCTCGTACAATAAGTTTACACGCTTACGTGGTGCCTATTATTTAATGGCAACAATACAAGGGCCGCTGCAACGCGGGCGCCAGGATGTCTCTCAAATGTGGAGCTCTGCGGACCCGTGTGGTCGTTGCTTAGCCTTACTCCCCGATCCCAGTGGAGTTGCGCGAACGCAACTGCTGTGGGTGATAAAAATCGGAGGCCGTTTTACAAAACCAGAAACATCTCGGCTGCCCCCTCCGCAGGTGGAACATTTGCTGGCGTGCATTGGTGTTCACGGCGGTGAGGAATTGGAGCTGGAGGCCCCGGTGGACCCTGTTATCGCGGGGGACCCTGCCACCGCGGGCCCCGGTGACCAAGCAGAGGCGTGGGGGCCCCCCCTCCCGGCCGACGTGTTTGGGGTGGACCGCGCCGCCATGCTGCGGCAGATCGCCGGCTACAAGAAGCGCGAGCGGCCCAGCGCCGTGGCCGAGCCCGTGGGGGACGAGTGGGACCGGCTGCAGCGGCAGCAGCTGCGGAGGCTCAAGCAGAAGATGCAGGCGAAGAAGAAGGAGAGACGCGAGGACGACGACGACGTCACGCCCGCCGCGTACCTGGCCCAGCGGCTCCAACGCGACGAGGCGATGCGCAGGCGGCAGCAGGCCGAGTGGCACAGCGACGAGCTCGAGGATGGTGACGACAGCGATTATCATGGAGTTAAAGATCGGTAGCTTCGAGACAATGGACTTGACAAATGTTCGTTTTTTATATTGAAGGATAGAATGGTGGCACTTTATGAATGTGCATTGAATGTTGTAATGCCGGCCATGTTAATGCAATTCATCGCTGTCTTCTCTTAAACATAACAAATAGGGTTTATTTACAATTTGCTTCATTACCGTGCCATATACTTAACGAGCATTATCAGCCAGCACCTTCTACATCTTAACAGAGTCGATTGGATAATTGGTCTAAATAAATGTTTTTTTATTGACCGATAGTTCAGCTTCACAGATGTCATTGTAAGCAAATAGCTTATACATAAGCACAATAGAAAAATAAACGTGCGAGGGAGTTTGTTTTCAGATTGAAAAGTAATAAGTATAACCCGTAAAAACTAAGTTTTTCACTATAAATCCTTTATATGCGTGGCGGCTAGAGTCCTCTCGTCCTCTGGCTTGAGATGCCTGCCACCTATGGGTCAGATGATTGCATTGCACCATTAAGCAATTGGTAATTAAATATATTTTTGTCCTAAAAAGTGTAAAATTTTGGAAAAAAATTTTCACGAACATTAATTGTCACGCACAACGAGTCTGGAAAATGTCAGCTCGATTGGATCATGGGAAGTGGGTTAAAAAACGGCCGAAAGATTTGCACGGTCCTAAGCAAGCAAGAGAACTTAATATAACGGATTTTAAAATGAAAAAGCATCCGTGTGCAATCACGCAGATTGTTTTTCCAAGTAAAATATGTATAAAAAGACATCCCGGAGATGCTCTTAACTTTGGCGAGTCAAGCCGCGTTCGAGTCCAAATGTAAAGGAACCGGTCACAGGGTTTCCTCGTTTAAACAAATGGAAATTATCCCAATGGTTGAACACTTTTAACGAATAAAAGATGCAAACCACCAAACAAAGTGATTATGGTGTAGACATCTCGTCTGTGTCCCAGGTTGTCCTATACAAGATTTACGGTTTCATTATTTTGGGGGAAACTTTATTTAACGGTCACTTGACTTCCGAACACACTGTTACGTGGCCACTGATAAAAGCAATCTTTTTCGCTCAATCAAAAATCTAACCAAAATATATAATGCATCATTCCGCAAGAATCCGATACGGAAGCGCAGATAATGGAGAAAAATTAAACTTAAACTGAACAGAAGAGAAAATAAATGCTTTCAATCCAGTCTTAAAAGCACAGATTTTCACAACTGACTGGACTTCAGTTGGTAGACCGTTCTAATCTGCACCTTGCTTTAGACCCCCTCGCATACTCACTCTTAGCACGGCGATATTTGCCAAAGCAGAAAATGAAACGAAAATTTAACCACCACATACATGCAACGTTTAAAAGAAAAAATGCGCCCATAAATTGCACCCATATATTCTTGGGGGAGTGGTAGTGCTGCGATCGTGCATGCACCACGCTGTGAACACAGCGACCCGAGATGGATACTGGCGACAGTTAATATCTGCACCAGTCCTGAGTCCCCCCCCCCCCACATTGACCCGTACTGCCCAGTGTGGTGAAGTATGACCAGGAAACCCCCCACGACCCACAGCGCGAAGGGGCCTTGTTTAATTATACATTGTAAACACGATTTTTGTTCCTGGGTAGTGTTATTTTCTAATTTCTTATGCCTCTAAGGTACATGGCTATTATTCCCCACAAACTTTGCTTTTGTGACCAGGGCGTTATGTGAAGGAATGACAAAAAAGCACACCACGTTTTCTCATTGAAATTAGGTAAATTTCTAAATATCACTGTCCTGGTCACAAAAGCAAAGTTTGTGGGGAATAATAGCCATGTACCTTTGCGGCATAAGAAATTGGAAAATAACACTTCATACTCAGGAACAAAAAAAAATGTTTTTGTTACAGCGTTATTCTACATTCGGCTATCTAGTTATTTTAAAATAACCACATTTTTTCGTTAAAAAAATACCCCCATAGCACTTGTTTTAAATATTTATATTTTAAATAGTTTTGATGTTTGGTGGCTCTAACTCCAGCAGCAAGCCCCATCGAATCACTGCAGTGATTTGGGGCGTTTGTGGCCCCAGCAGTAACGTGTCGTCCACTTGTTGCAGAGACTCTACGGTTCGATTGCAGTGACCACCCTGGTTAATACTGTGGGTGTAATAAAAAAAATACGCATTGCGTGCCGGCGCGTCATGGTCCAAATTTGCCAAATGAGGAAAAAAATTACCCGCAAATGACTCAATTGGAATATTACACAGCACAATCATCGCCCCCTACGTGGGAAACTTTTCGCAGTTGAAAAAGTCAAGTCTCGGGACTCTTCAATCTGGCTATATACACGCTTTAAGTTAGAAAGGAACATCAACTTTGTGGCGCGAGTTGTATCATCCAGCAACCTTGCTCAAAGTACTGGCAGCATGGCCAGTGCTCCCATTCCCCGTGCGACAGCTCATCGAATTCCGCATTCAACCACAGCCACCACCGTTGACAACGCCTCTGACAAAAAAACCAGAACAAATGTGCCACCTTCCTTATTAACCATTCTGTTGGCAGTCCCCAGAGGGTGGTGGAAATTCCACATTGCTATGGCGAGGAACATCCCCCAGCTTCAGTTCCACCACGTGGTGAGAGCCAGGCAGCGTTCATTTGAAGGCGCCTGGAGAGACGGCAGTGGGGGCCGCTGTTGGTGTCTCGTGCTCGCTCGCAGTGATGAGATCTCCGCTCTTTGCACAAATCTGGTGATCCCAATCGTGCAAAAGCCAAGCGACCTCAAAAGTAGCCTCTCTTGACGAGCAGTGAAGGAAAAGCGTGCGGAAACCCAACTGCTTGCCATGCTCACAAGTAAGTTAATATCAAATTCCACAAATGAGTGTTATTTCCGATACGCATCCTGTTACAAAAGACTTCGGTGTGGTTGGGGCAGCATCCGTGATTCAATCGCACGGGCAGTGAACGCGCGTGGTGGATAAATTACCTGCACACTTTATTAGATGGGAGTCTACGGTACCGTGGTCTGGCCCGACACCCTCTCTTCGTCCACTCATCCTCACGCCCTTAACTCTCTCAACCCCATGCGTACCCTCCTCCTATCCGACAGTTAATGTTACATTCACTTTAGCATGTTTGATCAACCTTCTGGTTTGTCAACAGTCTCAAATATCAGCGTGTCTTATGAAATGTTACATCCGCCAAGTCGAGCACAAAGCAGAAACATTTTTAAGTTACCCACCATATTCAATATAAAAAGGCCACCCATCCCCGAAACGTGAAAACCCACGGGTGAAACGTGCCAAGCTTTGTGCGAGCACCCGGCGATTCTCCCGCCTCTCCTGTGCTCGACTCTCATCAGCAGTCGCCGCGAGTCGCCCCCTCCGAACCATCGATCTCCACCTCCACGGCGACCACCTGCTGCATGGTGGTCTCCGTCTCCACGGCGACCACCTGCTGCAAGGTCCCCTCCGTCTCCACGGCGACCACCTGCTGCATGGCAGCCTCGATCTCCACGGCCTCCTGTGCCGCTTCCCCCTCCTCCCCCATCGCCTCGATGGCCACCATGTTCCCAGCTGCCATAGCCATGGCGGCGGCCTGCACGCGCTGCGCCGCGTCATCCATGGGGAATCGCGACGTGCGCAGGATGAGCACAGTCTGCTGACGCAGCGGCCGCACGTCCAGCCCCGGCTGCAGCAGCACGTGCTGCTCGCTCAGCTGCTCCTGCTGCTCGCTCAGCTGCTCCTGCTGCACCTGCACGTGGGCGACCTGCTCCTGCACGATATAGTGCTGCGTAATATGCTGCTGCTGCCGCTCGGCCATCTCCTGTCCTTCAAACTGATGCTCCTGATCAATGTGCTCCTCGTAAATGTGATGCTCCTGATCGCCGTATTCCTGCTGTGCCATCTGCTGCTGTTGGTGGATTTGCTGCTCCTGTTCGCTGAGTAGCTGCTCGGCAACCTGCTGCTCAACAAGCTGCTGCTGCTGAGCTACGTGCTGTTGGTAAATCTCGGTATTGACTATTTGCTGTCCCTGAACTACATGATGCTCCGCAACCTGCTGCCGGTGGTCTATGTGCTGCAACTGAACTATGTGCGGATGGTCAACCTGATGAGCTACAAGCTCCTGGACAATCCGCTGCTGCTGCTGCTCCTCTTCCAGGTGGGCAATCTCCTGGACCAGCAAAGCTTTCGAACGCCTTCTCTGTTGCCGTTTCGGCCGTGGGTTCGGCACCGGGGCTCCCTCTCCGTTCTCCGCCAGGAGCTGGTCCTCCTCCCCCTCCTCGAGCGGCCCCCTCTTCCGGCGCGCGGCCACCGGCTTGCCGCACGTGTGCCGCTGCAGGCCGCTGCGGTTGACGAACATGCGGCCGCAAAGCTCGCACGCGTGGAAGCGCTCCCCCGTGTGGTAGCGCAGGTGGTGGGTGAGCTGCGATGGAGTGGCGAAGCGCTTGTTGCAATGCGTGCACTGGTAGGCCGGCAAGCCGTAATTGTGACGCGCCTTGATGTGCGACCACAGCGAGTTGTTGCGGTGGAAAGCCACATCGCAGTACTGGCACTTGTAGGGCCGCACGTCCAGGTGCAGGTTCATGTGCTGGGTCAAGTTGTTTGATGACGTGAAGTTCTTTCCACAGATCTAGCGAGGAGAGGACGGGCAGGGGGAAGGACGGAGAGAACGACTCAAGACTACAAATACACAACTCCAAGCACCCCGCATACAGAGGTCTTGCGGTCAGTCGGGACTTTACGGTGCTGGAGTAAATATTTTTTTCTCGTGTCACTGCCACTGTCATTGATGCCAAGTCTGTAAATTAGAACATTTGATTGTCACGCATCTAGCAAGGTCTCTGCATATTCTATACATTTTGGCAGGCATATATAACATTTTAGTGTGCGTGCACGTGACAGTGTACACAATATCCTCAGTGTCTGTCTACTGCAGTCTCAACGATCTCACTCTCCCTTGAACAGACCACAAAAGGAACAGTCCACCGATTTAAAAGCTACTCCCTAATAAATACTGCGGTTGTATTATCCTTAAAAATATGCACCGTCTACTTCACAGACATGAAACTCGGTGAGGCCTTCCTGAACAGACGAGCACAAAATAATAAGAATGCTTTGACAAGAGCCCCAGCTATAAAGTCACTGACCTATCAAGGCTCAGGTGTCACGCCAAAGGCCAAGACAGAAGTGAGCCTGCTCCTCCATTTTCAACCCTAGACCTCACTCTAGACCAAGACGTAACATACAACGCATCCCCCGCAAAGCCTTAAGAGACTGTAGGAGCAAGCGCTGTTAGTGAACACCTACGAAGGCCAGCACGGCACAAGAGGGGGTGGGTGGCCAGCACCACGCCCGGCCGCCTTTGTCTCCCTAGTGGCGATGTTTACACACTGCAGCAGGTACTAATTTGAGGCCAAGTCAACCTAGGCGATGCCCAGGACCAGTTTGGATAATCATCACCAGTGTCGACTGTGAGTTTGAATCGAACCCGGGTCGCCGGGTTCATAGCACGGCTCCCCAAGACGTCACCCGCATCATCGCGCACACCCCTCGCCGCCGCCGCCCACCTCGCACACGTGCTTGTGCGCCTTCGTGTGGCGCTCCAGTGCCTCCTGTCCCACGCACAGTTTCTTGCACACGGTGCAGGGCAGCACCTCGAGGCCGTTGTGACCGGCCATGTGCACCACGAACTCCGTCTGGCGCGAAAACTGCAGCGCGCAAGCGCTGCATTCGAAGCAGCCGCCCGCCAGCGTGCTGGTGGTGACGCCGCAGTACTCCTCCTGCACGGTCTCCACCTTGACCAGGCGGCGCCCCAAGGAGCTGCTGCTTGGCTTGACGACGTTTTGTGGATTGTGAATGGAGTTGACGTGCTTCTGCATGGTGCCTGCGGACGAGGTGGAAGGGAGCGTCGTGATCGTTAGGAGCGCCAGCCGTGCGGTCGCCGCAGTTTTCTCTTCCGGTTCGGGATCGAGGATGCGTCGTGAAACTGTGAGCTTGTGAAATTATGAAAAGCAGAACCCTCTGAAAACAAAACGCCCACCTAAATTAAACTCAGTGTGGCATGTCCACAGGTTCGACTCCGTGTTTACCTCGTGATCACTTTGGCTAAAAGACAGTCGCTGCATCGCACGCTTTCATATGCGGTTCTGTGGCCGTCTGGAACGCTCCTTCCCCATATTAGGAAGCCATTGGAACTATGTACCTTTAAATTGAGAGTGAAAACTCATTTATTTCGAATTTATTTTTGTGTTGAGTTTGTTGTCCTTCCCCCGCACACCTCTGATTAGCATGGTTGGCTACGTACGGTGTGAAAGAAGTTCAACAAGTATACATACAAACACATTATACATACAAACACATCATACATACATACTGTCCACACGCTCGCTGGCACCGCCTGAACATGCCCCCCTCGTGGTGTTTTCTTTGCGGTTAGCCTCAGGGATGAGTTTAAAAACAAGGGGAGTGACACCTATAGGATCGCAAAATAGTTACAATAAGTCTCCGTCCCATATTTGTCCCATTTACATTAAGTATTAAACTAATTTTTTTTAAACATCCCATCAGCCATAAAGCCCTTCTGGGAGCACGTAATTGCAGCAGCATTAATTCGAAACAAGAAAACTTTGGACCAGTTTTTTTAATAGAGTGCTTCACCAGCAGGCAGGCTTGCTTGAACCAATGCTGGCGAATTGCCAGATGCTATAGACAAGAACCCGGTGTTTTAGATAAGGGTCTTAGTTCAACGCAAAACTCTAGGATTGCAGAACAATTCACTGGATCTAAGCCACCACCCCGTCGGATCTGCTACGCGTGCGGGCAGGCAGCTTGCGGACGAGGAGCCCCACGCCTTACCCTTGAGGGTGAACTTCTTCCCGCAGTATTCGCACTGGAACAAGCGCTCCCCCGTGTGCAGGCGCATGTGGCTCGGTAGATTTCCGCGGTTCGCGAATGTCTTCCCGCAGACGTTGCACTCAAACGGCTTCTCTCCTGCCGAGAGAGGACTGCCTTCAGAGATGGAGGGGGGGGGGGAGCCCTAACTTAAAGGAGGGGTGTTGGGCATGGCCAGTGTAATGCCTCAAGAAACATTTTTTCTTTTAAATAAAAAAAATGCACGCAAGTCTTGGGAAGCAATGCATTCCAAGGCATCCCCGCTGTATTCAGATGACCAGAGCAGATTACCAATAACCCCGTAGTGTTACTCCTTTGTTTCAGTTTATAATCAAAACAGCTGAAAAAAAATAATTACAACCCTATTTGCAAGCTACTGTTGAAGGCCTCACCAGATCGTATTAGTCACCGGAGGGGGGGGGGGGGGGGTTGTTTGACCATACTTCATAAAATTGGTCAGTGTCGGATGACGAACCGGGGCTGCCCAGGACCGTTTCAGATATCACTTCACCAATGATGTTAGCTGCGGCCGGGAATCGAACTCAGGTCACTGGGTTCATGGTGCACGGTGTAAACTACTACATTGCCCACTCTCTCAGCGTAGCAGTCGAGGACTGTTATTTCTAAAATAAAAAAATAAACTCAATTACGTTATTTTAAGAATCGTAATCAAAATAGTTTTAAAGTAATCATCATGATACTTTGAAAATAATAATCAAATCCAGGATTACGTTGCGTAAAACGTGTAAAACCAAATAAATTTAAAGATAAAAACCCATCCCAACCGTTAGCGCACGTTCGAGGTGTGTTCCTGCGGCAGAGGATCGCGGTTCCAATCTGGCAGGCCGACCCTGGTTAACACCGTGGGTGCAGGAGCCGTAAGGTCACCCTGGTTAACACCGTGGGTGCAGGAGCCGTAAGGTCACCCTGGTTAACACCGTGGGTGCAGGAGCCGTAAGGTCACCCTGGTTAACACCGTGGGTGCAGGAGCCGTAAGGTCACCCTGGTTAACACCGTGGGTGCAGGAGCCGTAAGGTCTCCCTGGTTAACACCGTGGGTGCAGGAGCCGTAAGGTCACCCTGGTTAACACCGTGGGTGCAGGAGCCGTAAGGTCACCCTGGTTTTTTTTGTTATTACCTGCAAATTACTAAATTGTGATGACACCCAGCAGCAACATCGCCCCTTACCGTCAAACGATTGCAGATTGTGTCGTGAAACAAAGCGGTGCCTTCCTGATGATAGCCTTGTGCTATAATAATGGTGTGAATATCAGCTGTACCAAATTATTAATATTATTAATAATGAAGGCATGAGAAGAGACATCCCAACATGGACCGGTGGTGGCTATGCACGTCTCCAATCCGGCACCGCGCAGGGTTGGCGAGTCGCACAAATACGAAACTGCCTTCCTGTGGGCGTCGAGGTGCCATATCCTGGCTTGCCAGAAGGCAATACAGGAGGTGGACTAATCCCCATCTGTTTTCATCTGTACCAAGAAATCTTTTAAAAAATCTAGTAACAACATTAACACGGCACACCTTCAGGCATCGCCCCCCCCCCACCGCACAAAGCACTGCACCCGGGCATCCCCTCTCGCGGCCATCACCGCCACCATCACCATCGCCGCCACTGTCGCTCACCAGTGTGGATACGCATGTGCGTCTTGCAGGAGTCGCTCTGCCGGAAGCGCGCGCCGCACACCGTGCAGGCGTAGGGGCGCTCCTGCGTGTGCCGCCGCCGGTGCACGGTGAGCGTGGAGCGGTTGCGGAAGCACTGGCCGCACGACTCGCAGACAAACGGCTTCTCGCCGCTGTGCTTGCGCATGTGCGTCCGCAGGTTCGTCTGGATCGTGAAACTGCGGGCGGTCGGATCGATCAGTGGCAGAGAGACACCGTCGGGAGTTCGCATTCCTCGGAAATTGCCACAGTTTTTTCGGTCAAGTTTGCCGTAGTTTTAAAACCACTCGCTTCCCGTTCATCTTTACGCGCTCTTGACATTTCTTTTTCGGATAAAATGTCAAAACTGATGCACGCCCTGACCCACAGTTGTAACAATACTCCTGGTAGCCTAAAGCCTGGGCAGCCTGCCCGGGCCACATTGTCAATCCCGGAACGGCCCAAAACCAGACTTGGCCCACCGAGCCCGGTTCCCACCGATCGCAGCGCTCTCTGCTCGATGCGTCCTCCCCACACTGGCGCATTCCGGCAGCTACGCTCCCCGTGCAAACGCTTCCCGCCGGTCACGTGGCGAACAGGCCGCACGGGGCGCACAGCACGCCCATACCTGGCGTCGCACTGGCTGCACTTGTACGGCTTTTCTCCGGTGTGCAGTCGCTGATGCTCCTTGAAGCTGTGCCTGGTGGTCATCGTCTTTCCACATGTGGTGCATTCGAATTTCATCTCCTTCTTTGCTCCTGCCAACATGGGAAACAGATTAATCGTTTCCCACCTGCCACAGGTTCAACACTTGCGATGTCAAGTTTAATCATCAACATTGTCAAAAACGTGAGGCTGCATATACAAGCCAAATAAATATATACACACACACACACACACATCAACTGTTAATTGTACGTCGGTGACATGGCCCATCGGCAGCGCTTTCGCTGCTTGTTGCAAAGGCTCGAATCCGGCGGGCAGCCCCAATTAACTCTGAAGGTGTATTAACCATACAAATACACGCAGTCTGCTTCACATTGGCCGTTAAAGATCCTGTGATGTCTCTTTGAAAAGAGTAGGCCATAGCGTCCCAGGTGCCATGGTCCAATTTGAACAAAAATACCTGCAAATTATTCAATTGGAATTACACACAGCAACACATAACCCCTTACTGCAGACGGTCTGTGAAGCATAGCGCCTTCATGATAAATTTGCGCTATAATGGTGGAAATTTCAAAAATACGACGTTTTGTATGTTAGTTATTACATCAACTAGACTTCTAGTAACATTAATTGTGCAACTATACTTGTGGTAACATATGCCATGCGGCACATAACGAGCTCATGCTCGGCGACAAATATTGCACGCGCAATCCCACGATTCACAAACAGTAATCTAGCACATGGACCGTCAACAGCTCCTTAATGCAACGTGTACACACCTCAAAAATCCAGACACAAATAAGCACTTTTCAATATAACTTGGGATGCACTAAACATGTGGCCAAACCGAATTAATCTGCGGAAATTCCCCAGACGTTCATCGTGATCAGGGCAGGCAACAAAAAAAACAAGAAACAAGGCATCTGTGGTGAGTGGCTCGGGACGTTTCCCCTGCTAACCTTGGGGTCTGCAATGAGTTCCTTTCGTTTGGCGGATTCAGTGTTTCAACTCATTTTGCTTGTAGGTTTCCATTTATACCCGGCTCCTATGAATGTGTCGTCGGTGTGCGTTAAGAGCCCGACCGGATTTTTGAAGAACATTGCTATCGGCATTTATGCCACCAATGTGCCCCAATTTTTTTAATTTATCACGAACCAAATCAAATCGATTCTTCTTCCTGTAAATGTACGTTTGGCAGTTTGTATTGCTATTTGCTAAAGGATCCGGTAGAGGGAGCTCTAATAAAAGAGCCCCTCTCGATGGTGAGTATGCAGAGCTGCTGTGTTTTCTTCGCTACAATCTGTCACTGCTTGAGTGGCAGGACGAGAGACCTGAACTCTGATGTCTGAGCACTGCCTGACTGCCAAAATAGCTTAAGTTCATCTTCTTGGTTCTTTCGATAAAGTCACGTAGAAGGGAAGTAATAAAATAATAAAAATAAAACATAAAATAATTCTCATGACGTTTCGGCTACAACGCAAGCAGCTGTCCTCAGGTGAAGAAACAGGTCTGTCGACACTGTCTTCTCGACAGACCTGTTTCTTCACCTGAGGACGGCTGCTTGCGTTGTGGCCGATACGTCGTGAGAATTATTTTATTATGTTTTATTTTTATTATTTTATTACTTCCCTTCTACGTGACTTTACCGAAAGAGCCAAGATGATTAATCCCTGCAGTCACGAAAGCTTTAAATCGAAGCTTAAGTTCAATTTGCAAGTATTTCGACAATTTATGATGAATCCGTTAAAAAGTTATTGGTGTGTACACAGCATGGACGGGTTGTGCTTTTTCTGTAGGAGTCTATTGTTTACGTATGTGATGTTCAGATTTGTGTACAATGAATTTTAGGTGTATCTTGTAATTTTAATTGTTTGTTGCGGTTGAACTCAAATCAAGAGCCGAATGGCTCACAGGGTAAATCCTAATAAATGAAACTGAAACTGTGTATTTTTTTAAATTGCTTGCTCGTTCATAGTATAATTTAAGTTAAATGTTCTCAAATCTTGAAAGTTTAATAAAATAGAAGTTTCAATTTTGCAATTTTTTCAATAAAATATCGCTCGCTATATGGGCAATCGCTGGACTAGGACTCTCCAAAATCGGTATCGGCGTCAAAGATCTGGCATCGGTCGTGCTCTAGTGTGCGTGTTTGCGTGTGCATGTGTTTTCATGAAGCATGCGTATTATGGTCCAACCCAACAAATTTTTGGGATCCATCAAATGAGACCCCCAGCCGGGTAATAATGTTGCGTCACCAGGAAGCGATTCCTTTGTGTCCAGCCATGCAAAACCGTTAGTTGGATTAAAGACCTTAGCTAACGTTGTTGTTTCGCACGCAAAAAGGCAGACGGGTTTTAAATGTCATATTCTTGTCCGAAACAAGATGGGTCCATGGCGATTCCACCCCTTCACCTATTCAACGGTGGTGAAACATTTTCCAGCTCATATCTCTTATTCTGAGAGGAGAGTGATTGAGTTGTGCACTGAACATGGCGCAGGCCATTTCGCATGCATGTATCCCGACTGGACGATCACTTGCGATTTATATTTCTGTGAGCGATTATACTGCACCACTGATCTCACGTGCCTGACTATTTGTACACAACATGTTATTGCGATTGGCCCATCCCACGCAGTCTCACCGGATAGATGAGTGTCTGTAAATTGCACAGCGGCCACACATTTGTCGGAAAAAATCTCACACTCCTAAATAACACTGCTGGCCTTAAAAGGAAAATATATAATAAAAAAAACAGGTGATGTTTAGATTCTTCTTCATAGCACATAAAATCAGTGTTATTTCCGTATGTGTCGAGTTTTTTTTTGCTAATTGTACTTGTGTACCCCTGCCAATGCAACAACAGCATCACCAACACCACGTGACTAATTTGCGGTGTGTCGTTCGGCAACGTGATGGGGGGACGCACACCCAAAGCGAGACACTTACTCTTGTAGTGAGTCTTGCGGTGAGCGCGGTGGTCGGCTGGGGTCTCGAACGTCAGCAAACACTCGGCGCAGTGTAGCCCATCGCTTTTCTGCCATCTCTTCCTGGTTACCGTGCCCTCTGCTTTCTCAGAGTCAACGCCGTCGCCAGCCTCCTCAGTTTTGGTGGTGGTGGTGCTGGTGGCGGCATTAGCCACCTTCTCCTTGGCTTTCCGGACAGGTTTGGCCTTGGATCGCTTGGCAGCCTTAACCACAACTGTGGCCGTCGTTTGCCCTGCCAGCTTCTGGATGATTTCGTTGAGACGACTGGACGACTGTTTTTGTGTCCACTTGTCCTCATCGGAGCACTGGACTTGCGCTGCACCGGCACCGCTCTCACCGACACTGTGGCTACCTTCACCACCATCAACATCGTGTTTCCCACTGGGATGTAAGTCAGTAGTGGTTGGCTCATCCTGGACTTTGCTTTTCTCCGGTTGGCCAGAATCCACCACTGCTGGGACATCATCACCGTCATTTGCACCATGACTATTTTCTACGTCAGCGTCATGGTCATCCAAGTGCCGCTCCGTGTTCGTGGCCGAGGTTGATGCTTCGGGGTCTGCGTTCGTATCGTGGCAGCTGGCAAACTTGGATTCGTCGAGATGCTCGCTCTGCGCGGCAGCCATATTCTGCTCCATCTCCACGAGAGCCTGTGCAGGCAACACATAATACGTGTAGATTTATGGACAACAAGTATTTCACAGGTATTTAAAATAATGGGAGCTACCACAGTGGTATAATGGTTAGCACATTGGACTTGGCGATATAGAGGCCGCCGTTTCAATTTTGAAAACTCATTTACTCAGAACTGCTTTTTGTGTTTATTTTTGTTGTTGTTCCTCCGCACCTCCGATTAGCAGTTGGCTACCTACAGTACGAAGACGTTCAACATACATCGAAACAATTCCATCTTCCAGGACGACACTTGAAATGGGGCAGGTTTCTTAAGTCCCCCCTCCGCCTCTGCCAACCCGGTAGTGTGGATGAGTTCACCGCAGTGAGTCGATTGGCAGGGTCGCGTGCGGTGGGACAAAGTGCGTGTACGCCCACCTCTTCCAACACGTCTGGTCAACATGGAAGAGTAGGCCAAATACCCTCGGGTTCCCTTTCGTGGAGGCCTCTCCACCAGCAGTGGTGTGAGCAAGCAATTGCAGGGCCGCACCTTTACCTTGTACTTAAGTAACATAAGGCACACTAGCTTATTGCATTGATGTGCTGCTCATCAACACAAACAAATGTCATCAAGAGGTCTCCAGATGTAAAAACATCAATCTCCTGGTATGGTTAACAATGTACACAACAGTCCTCAGGGCCCAATTCAAAGAGACGTAGGGGCCAGTCCTCCGCATCTACCGAACACCCGTGGAAGATTCGTCTCTCGCAAAGGGCGAAGACGACCAAAGACAACAGTGTCGTCGCTGTCCAACAAACTCTAAACTATTTTTATGTTACCAGGTAAGGCTGACTGAGCTATAAAACTTTTTTTCAGAAACGACCTGGCCAAAAATGACAGCTCAACGAAGTGGCTCATCACGTGGAAATATATAGCAGGCAAATACTCTAAATGCATGTTTACAAATGTGGAGGGGAAAACTGGAGGACCCAGAAAAAATTTACGCGACCACGGAGAGAACATGCAAACTCCCAAATATACAGGTGTCAGGGTCGGGATTGAACCTACATCTACATATACAGGTGTCAGGGTCGGAATCGAACCCACATCTCGCCACCGTGGCACCCCTCGTGCCGAAAACCCAGGAGGAAGCCGCAAGGTACCGGACCACATTGACGGCTACGACCTCATCGCTTACATCAACCAAGTGGAGCGTGAGATTGGCACAAACACCAGACATGACCTGGATGCCGCATTGAGAAACATGCGTGTAAAGTATTTGCCTGCGATACAATTTCACATAAGCCAGTTCGTTGAGATAACATTTGGGGCCAGGTCGATTCTGAAAAAGAGCGATATAGCTCAGTGGGCCTTACCTGATAAAATAAAAATAGATTAGTTTAACTCACAGACGGGGCATTAATGAGTGATATCCACCCCAAATGAGTGCTACTTTCCACTCAGCAAGATGGAATATGGACTACAGGTCAGACCTCTGCTTCCTCTCAAAATGATAAATGGACGAAGCCCTCTGGAAGCTTCACAAATCATCCTTGAAAGGCCTCACTGAATCTCAACGATTTTGAGGAGGGTCCTGCCAAGTTTTTTCAGGAGGGTGCGATGATGCTGTTCTGTGTATGACACCAATTGAGCAACGTGCAGGTACATTTTTTTCATTGGGATTCTTGGCCAATACCAGTTACATAGCACGTTATTTTTATCTATGGGTAGGAAAGCGAATAACCTGGAGGAAACCCATGCAGAGCATGGGGCGATCATACAAACTCCACGCATAAAAGCGCTCGAGTCAGGAATCAAACCTCGGGACTTCTTGCTGTAAGGAACAAGTGTGACCACTGCGCCACGCTGCTGACGGAGTACGCTGGCAGGACCTCACCTGACGGATGGCCTCGATGTGCCGCAGCAGGGCCGGCACCTGCAGGACCTGGGCTGCGTGCTCCAGGCCCTCCATCTCATCCTTGTCGGTCACGAGCAGCTGCGCCGTGTAGAAAAACGTCAGGATGAGCTCAAAGGCCCAGGCCTCCAAAGCCTCCACGGTGTCCCGGCCAAGTGGTGCGCTCCTCCCCCTCAATCCACCCTGCCATGGGTCCATCACCGCCACCTGCAGAATAGCGAGACGACGTATGCGTGAAGCACGAGTGAAGCGCGGGTGAAGCCCGGGATTCTTTTTACACAATTGCTGAGCACAGGCCCAAATGGGCAGCAATAAACAGCACTCTCAGAGTTGTGATGAGGGTTAAGACAAGTAACATGGGAAAAGAGACCGTGGGATATGGAGTGCAAGGGAAGAAGCATCGATAATTGTTGTGACCTGCAGTGCAGTAGTTAAACAGTGTGGATGAGACAAAACTCAAGTTAAATGGTAGAACTTTACAGCACTAACATTGCTCTAAACTACTCGATTATTAATTTTGCTTCATTTGACAAAGGCTGCAACACTGAGTAAACTAAACTGTATGTGTCCCTGCAACACTAAACAGTTTTGCTAAAAATACATTAAAAAAGGTATGTTTCTAGACAAGCAATGCGCATTCTGACAGGATCATGTGATTATCACAACAACAGATCAGGTTTTTGCGTTTTAATTTACAAATCCTCCCACCCTGCCCACCATGCGCTTTGGGCTCTGTGATGCACGAACACTTCACGTGTGTGTGGCTGTCATATTTCCTTCCTCCCTGAAGGCATTCAAACAACAGACAAATGGACGTACTGGCGGTACACGGGTGCAGCAAAACACACCAGTCCTCATAAAACAGTCGAAAATCTAAATTCGAACCAACATTCGGCTTCCAACTGCCTCGACATCACGAGAACTGATTTTGACGTACCACCCACAAGATTTTCTCACCGGGGTTGCGAATCGCGGGAAAATAAATCACTATTGTAACGAGTGTGGGGTCCGAGGGTGCCTTGGCCCCTCCTGGTGGCCAAAGCTACGAGTTGGGGCCCCCTTGACAGCCACCACGAGATATGTTTTCACTAAGTGTAAAAAGACAACAAACTTAATTAAAATGCCGTTTAAATTTATTTTTGCGAGAACGCTTTCATCATGGGACATCCTTTGCCAGTACCAAAATATGAGAATAGGTTTTTCCCCTTTTTTAATAAATAGAGCAGTTACGTAATATTGCAAAGGCACTCAGGAGCTGAAGTGGCTGCATTTTGCGAAGACGGAGCGCCCCCCTACAGCGTTAAATGTTTGAGACCATGAGCGTAATGACGCGATTGGCCAAGAGCAGCCGCAACATATAACAGCCTCGGTGCGACCGTGCGAGACAAGTCAAATATTGGGGCCCCACCCCCCGAGCTGATAATGTCATTACTACGCCACTGCCTCCACGACACCTCCTTAAAATCAGCCACGCCACTCAACTTTACCCTGCGCCTTACACGGTGCGAGTAACCTCTTCCCGCGTCACCTCCTCCATCGACGCCCTTCGCGATCACGCCGAAAAGGGTGACCCGACTCCATTCATTCGGTCTCAGAACCGAGGGACAAGACTGTCAAAACGTTTAGCACCGATGCAGGAAACATTTGTGAAACGTCAAGATGGGAGCCATTCTCGGAGGAGCAGGAATGTACCTCGCGTGAGCCAAACAGCGAGGCAAAGTAGCCCGAGGTGGCGGACAGCACGCACTTGTGAGCCGAGAAGAGGCGTCCGCCAACCAGCACCGTCACGTCACAGTGCTCGCCTGCACACACCACAGCAGAGACAAAGTTCCCCCGCATAGCCTTTAACAGACTTCTTGAGGCAAGTGATGCGAGCAAACACACGGCACAGCTGCCTTTCATTTCCCAAGGCTGATGTGTTTACACACTGCACCAGCTTGTTGTTTAAGGCTGATTTGGCTACTGTTATTGGTCATGAAGGAGAACTGAACTCAGGCCGCCAGATTAGAGCGCAGTGCGATGACCACGACACTACCACTACCCATAAACCCTAAACACGCACACACCGTCAGCACACATGTGTAAACACAGGCGTAAACAACAACAGCCACCACTAGACACAAAGTGGCAGTAATGTCACCACAGCATGTGCCAGCCTAGATGCACTTTGAGGTTATCACTTCAAGTGTGGAAGGCTCACTGCTGATAGGTTATGGGACAGACCCAGGTGTTCCGGGTTGATTAACCGAGATGACTGGCAGATGTAACACCTGTGCCCACTTTCACACCAACACGAAAGACACGCACTCGCCTATACACACACACCACCATAGACAAGCACAAACACATACTAGCACAAGCACACACACACAAATCGCTATGCAATTTCATGACGATCATGGAATTTGATCATATCTAAGGCTATTGCTGCATCATCGTCGTCAACACTACCATGAACGCCTTAAATCGTGCCGTTTGTTGCTGTTCACTTGGGTGTTTTGGGGGCCTTTGAAACTGGTAAATTGTAATTATAAAAAGGCAGATCAATTGAGTTAGAACCGTATCCTATACACGAGGCAACTGTGGGAAGAAGCTGCACCCACAGAACAGTGGTCTCCCATTTCGTGCCCAGCGCTCTCCCGCCGACCACAGGGAATTGCTTCGTAAATGGTGTGCCGCTGCGGCACACAGCACCAGGTGTGCCGCAGTTTTCTCGGAATTATAGCAGAGGAAAGAAACCCAAAGCCTCCAAACCCTCAGTCCCCCCCTCTCCATTGGTCACGGTGCGGTATGGCAGACACACAGACATGGAGGACAAAGGAAAAGCTCCCCCCGTGTAGCCTGAACAGACTTTTGGGGCAAGTACTGCGAGTGAGCAACTATGGAGGCTGTCACGGTACACACGGTGGTGGGTGGCCAGCACCATACCCCCCCCCCCCCGCCTTCGTCTCCACCGTGGCGACGTTTACACATAGCACCAGGTATTCATTTGAGGCCGAGTCGATCTAGGGGAGGCCCAGGAGCAGTTAAGATAGTCGTGAGTGGTGTTGGCTGTGAGTAGTACATGGAGGACAATAACAACAGCCGCCATTCGCCACTAAGTCGCAGTGACATCACCACGGTGCCTGTGCCAAGGCCAGATGCACTCCGAGGCCAAGTGAAGTGTCGAAGGCTTGCCGACAGGTCACGGGACATGAAGCAGATACACAGAAACCAGGAGACACATTAGCACAAATAGAGACACTGAGACTCACACAGACCTGAATACTCATACACAGAAACAGAGACACACACAGAGACACTGACTCACACAGACACAAATACACCCAAGCAGTTGGACAAAACCTGAGCACGAATATTGGTAGAGCCACTCAATTTCCTTGTTCTCGATAAGAGATTGTGAATTATCAATCGGCTTCAATGCATTCCCACCCAGGCGCCAGGTGAGTGTTCGGTGTGCTGTGAGGCTCAAACGAGCTCAAGAGTTTTTCTGGTGAATGAGAGCGGTTGAGAAGCACTGCCGTAGGGTAACCAGTTGGTGTGAAAAGTGGTCCTAACGCGAATGGTCACCATGACAAAGTTTCAATATTTTAATAATTCCTCGGGTATTTAGCCACTCGTAAAAAAAACATTATTCCCTTCCGGCGATCAATTATAAGGCAACATCCGCAGAGTACAAGCAGAATCAAGGCAGCAACATTATCCACACAGTGGCACGGGAGTTTCGTTGGCCACATGAGCACTGCTCTCTGTGCCTGGTGCACCAAATTAGGAGATGGAGGCAGTGTCGGTGCAGAACCGAGGATTGAATGAGCAGCAATGCCCAGCTGCTGACACCCCGAGGGCTTCCATCGAGCATCGCGTTCAACTCGTGTGACCTCGTACCTTGCAGCCGCTGTTGGTTAAGAGTGGCCAGCATCTCAGTGGCAAAGCAGTTGTCAGTGACGCACACTTTGCCAGCGTTTCCCTGCCTACAACACACACGGGGAGGCACAAGGATGAACAACACATTCACATGTATGTTTGTATGTAGAACTTCTTTCACACTATATGTAGTCAACCGTGCTAATTGGAGGTGCAAACACACATGCAACACAGCCACATGAACGTCACATGCACGATATTACCTACTTTGAAAAAAGTGTTTGTTTTTCCCGTCGCTTATGTTCAGCACACTTGCGCAAAAAATGGAATTTGCATATTCTCCCCATGGTCGCGTCGATTTTTCACCGGGTCCTCCGGTTTTCCCTCCACATTTATCATCAACGTGCGTTTAGAGTATTTGGCTGCAATACATTTCCACGTGATAAGC